AGTTTTCAGGTTTTTTTCTTTTTCTTTTTTTTTCTTTTTGGTAGGTGAGTAGTTGCTACACCAGTGAGCTACAATTCTAGCCCTTGGTTTTTGAGGCAGAATCTCTGTATGTGGCTCAGGCTTGCCTTGAACTTGCTATGACACCTAGGTTAGCCTCAAACTCTTGAGCTTCCAAGTGCTGGGATTGTAGGTGTGAATGTTTGTGTTTGACATTATATATATGTAATCGACTTTATATTTAGAATACAATATTACATTGCTGTAATTTATATTTCTGTAGTTCTTTAATTACAAATGTACATTTTAAAAATAGATTATATTTGTAGAACTGTTTGAAATACAAAGCTAAATTGAGTATGTAGCACAAGGCGTTCCCTTGTACCTTGGGCTTATTTTACAGAGCCAAGGCCTTCGTTGTTTTCAGCATTCCCAACCCAAGGGATACGTTTGTTAGACTTGATGAATCTGTGATATATTTCTATCACCCAAAGTCCATGGTTCTGTTTATTGTTCACATATGGGCAAATTCACAACAATGTGTTGGGTAGAAGAGCTTGTCCTCTCTAAGAAACCTCTGTTCCACCCTTCCCTCCATCCCTCCTCTCTAAGCATCATTTTACTGGGTTAAATTGTTCCTTTTGAGAAAGTCCTGTTTGTAACCAAACAGATCATCACCTTTTCCACTGGCCTATTTTCTCAATATACTTGATATTTTGTTTTAGTTTGTGAGATAAGGTCTCACCATGTACCCTTGTTGGCTTGGAACTTGTTACATGTAGACCAGGCTAACCTCAGAGTTTGTGTCCCAAATACCCGGATTCAGGTGATCACCCCCATGCCTGGCCCTGCATATCTACTTTAACGGTTTTTCTGTCTTTGTGGTTAGCTTATACATTTTTAACTTGGTGTGTGTTACTACAGGAGCAAAGCTATATTTTGAACCAGGATCCACATGCTTTCCTTGATGGTCTAGTGAAAGTGCCTTTGAGCATTTGGTTAAGGCAATAGGTTGCTAGGGTGCTCCGTTATAGGTTACTATCTTGCCCTCTGGAATCCATGTTACCTGAGGTTTTGTGACACATTAGATAATCTGCTTCTCATGTTCATCCTCTCACCTGAAGCTCTTCTGTCACTTTACAAAGTGATCATCTCCAACTTCAAATGTTTATAGTAAATATTTGTTATATTTACTATAATATTTGCTATATTTACTACAAACATAAAAGAAAAGCCTTTTCCATCCTTTTCTTAAAAAAAACAAAACAAAACAAAAAACACCCAAAACAACCATTTCTCTCTAAAACCTTCCTCACTCAAGGTAATTAAAAAAAAAAATTTAAAAAACAACAACAACAACAACAAAAACCAAAAACAAAACTAACGCCAAATTTCCTTAGCATCTTCTAACTTTGTATGATTGAAAGGAAAACCTCATTGAAGTCCATCTGCACTGACAAGTTAGCTTACCTTGGGACAGTGCAGTGTCCTCTCTTCAGAGAACTGCCTCCCCTTGCAGGAATAGCCGGTCCCATTTCTCCATGTGTGCCATTCTTTGTAGAATGTGATCTCTTAAGGACTTAGTAGGAGGTGACATCAAGGGCTGAAAAATACTTTGATGAAGTCTCATCACTTTGATGTTCAGCGAGACTGGACAGCAACAAATCTCCAAAGACCCAAGCCATTTAGAAATTGGAGATAAGAAAAGCAAGCAGAAGGCTGGGAGATGTTATTCCAATTAGTGTCCGTGTGGGATGGCATTTCACTCTGTTTATTTACATATTCCAGTTCCGAGCACTTAAAACTGGCCTCTGCAAGGACTTGTGGCTTGAATTTTTGTGCCATGTATTTCATTAAATCCTGAGAATCAATTTAAATACAATTAGAAGGTTTGATATTTGATTTAGTTTTCAAACGCTGTATGAACCTGCAGGTAGTTGTGAGTTAATTTATTTTATCACTTAGCAGTTTACAAAGTCACTACATGAGATCAAGTGTATCTTTCTTTTGTTTTATACAATTTTGACTGTTGCGTACTTGAAAAAAAAAGAACGAAAGAATGCCTTTTTGGAGAGAGCTCTCAGTGTTGCTAGGAAACGCAGAACTCTTGAGGATCTTGAGAATTCAGTTCATTTTTAGTACAACCCAGAGAGGAACAAATACATTTCAGAAAAGAAATATTGAAAGTCATTTATGAAGATGCTTAAAATATCTTGAGCAGAATAGCATCTCTTGGTATCTGAGGGGGCCCGCTTGCAGGTACTCACTTAGTGCACATGTAAAATCAGGGAGAATTTGCATGTAGCCTAAGGATGTTATCCACCAGCAAAGGGAAAGACAAAAATGACCAGTTGAAGTGTAGAAATTTCTTCTGAAAGATTTTCGCATTTCCTTGACAGTTCTAAAGTTGATCAGAATATAATTCAATCTAGAATTCTTTTCAGCAATTAAAAAGGTGCTATTTTAAGAGGTACTTTCAGGTTCCTTATCAGTACACGCTAATCGTGTACTGGTAAATCAGGATTTCTGCCTTCAAGGGTCCTCAAAATACAAGGCAGCATTGGCAAGAAAGCACACCAATGCTGAGGAAATGAGATGAAATCTGGATGCCGAGTTAGCCTCTCCGTAAATTTCTAAAGGAAAAAAAAAACACTGAAGTCAGCGTGTGTCAAAGGCAGGATGGTGGTGTAAACAGGTGGAGCGCAGCGAGGGTTTCTAGAAGGAAGAACAGAAGCTCCCTGGAGGGTGGAGAGGTAGTAGATTGTGCTCTGAAAACCAGGTAGGCATAGGAATGAATTTATTAGAAATTACAAAAAGAACCCTGAAGTTCCAGGATCTCTTCAGCAGGGACTCTAGAGATGGCACAGTCAGTGTCAAATAAAATAAAATAATTTTATATCTTAATAAAATAAATATGCAGACAGGAAACAGACTGAGGGCAGCTGACATTCAGGATGGTGGGAGGCAGTTCCTTGGTCCCAGTCAGGTTCAGATGGTCTATAGTCAACCTTTGCTGTGTGAAAAACCAACCCCAACTTTAGAGACTTCATCCAGGGATCCATGGGTGTTGGGGTAGGCTAGGCTGAGGATGCCCTGGTTCGCTCAGGGTGCTGCCGGAGCTTGGTGATCTAGAAGCAGGATGTTGGTGGTCAGGTGTGGTTGCACCTTGGGCAGTCACTGCTGCTGACCTGACACACCTCAGTTACTTCCTCCAGTGGTGTGTTTGGGGTGAGAATGGATTGAGCGAGGAATCTGGAGACCTCACCCTGGATCATGCCCTGGGCATTCCTGTTACATTTCACTGTTCTGACTTAGGAGAAGAATGCAGAGGATTTGTACTCATTTCTTATTCAGTTTGAGGAATGCCCTTAGATACTGTTAAAATCTTAAGATGGTGGCTTTTCATTAGTTCCTATTTTTCAGGCTTAAACTTTCCCAGTGCTATATTATTTCTGATGGGTAGTGTATTAAGGTTCATTCTTACCTAATAGAAAGGATAAGCCATACATTATTGGAGAAACATCCTCAAATAGACATTGTGGAGAGGGAGATCTCGGGGTTGACTGACTCCCAGTTTTGCTCAGAGTGCTGATGAGTAAGATGAAGGGAGGGGAAAAGTGGCAGAGAGGGTGGTGGTAGGGAGAGGCAGGCCCTGTGTGCTATTCATAACCTCAGTGTTCTGACTTTGTTGTGTAATCCAGTATTGGACATCTGTGTTGGGAAGGGTAGGGCTTCAACTGGGAAAGCTGTTCCTTAGCACAAAATGGTGAAACTTGGGGCCCCGGACAGTGAGATGTTTCACTTAAGGCATAGGAAATCTATTGGGGTTGGGGATGGTGACTCATGCTTGTACAAATAGCAGCTCTTAGGGCCTTGAGGTAAGAGCATTGCCTACAGCTCAAGGTGAGTTCCGGGCCAGGCTGGCTTAATGAGTGAGACCCAGTCTCAGAATAACAATAGGTGTTATTCAGAGAAATGGGCAGATATGACAGACTGTGGAAATTTATGATTTAAATAGGTTTTTAAAGACTTTAACTGATGGTTCACTTATAGGTAATTTGTGTTGACTATTCATGACCTTGGATCTTGATATGAACATCAACAATGGCTTTTTTCTTTTTTCTTTATTTTAATATAGGGTCTGGGAATCAAAGCCACAGAACCCTTTAGTGCTAGATAAGTGTTCTAGCAAGGTATGGGCAATCTCGGCCTGTTTTAAGAAAGTGTCTAGTTTTGGAGTTGGGGATGGGTGCTCAAACTCTCACTTCTCTGTTTCCTCAATTTCAGAAATGCAATGCTACATTTGATGGCAAATCCTTTTTTTTTCTTTTTTTGAGACAGAGTCTTGCTAAGTATCCCAAGCTTGCCTTGAACTTTTGATCATCCTACCTCTGCCTGCCTACTGCTGTAATTAAAGATATGTGGCACACGCTTGGTGACAAAACCAAAAAAAGTAAAAACAAAACAAAAACGAACCAAAAAAGCAACTCTTAGCCAGGTGCGGTGGTGCACACCTGTAATCCCAGCACCCTGGGAAGTAGAGGCAGGTGTAGCTCTGTGAGTTTGAGGCCAGCCTGGTCTACAAAGCAAGTCTAGGACAGCCAAGGCTCCACAAAGAAACCTTTTCTCCAAAAACCAAAAAAAAAAAAAAAAAAAAAAAAGAAAGAAAGAAAGCAAAAGCAAAAGCAAAAACCTTCTGGGAATTTAAAGTCCAGCTTAATAGTGCACTTTTATAATTGTAATAGGTTGTCAGCTGAGACAGGATTATGGGCTCAAGGCTTTAGCCGCTTGTTTTATTTCCTTCTGGGAAGTTCACACAGTGCTTTCAAAGGGAATTGTTTGGACATCTTAGCATCAATGGCTCATTACGAAGGCACCACAGACCTTGAACTCCATTGCTGTGAACCCAAACCCCATATTACTGTGATCCCATGAGTGGCCACAGGGCCATGTGCTAGGGCAATAGCAGAGGCTTAGTCCCATGTATGTGTTTCCTGTTGCAGATTTCATCAGCGGGTTGAGTATCGCTATTCCTGATGAACAGAAGATCGAAAAAGCTAAAGGGGAAACCGCGTACCTACCATGCAAGTTTACCCTTAGTCCTGAAGACCAGGGACCTCTGGACATTGAATGGCTGATATCCCCGTCTGATAACCAGAAGGTGGATCAAGTGGTGAGTTTAATGCCAGTGTTGCTGTCGGGTGTGTCTTCGCATCAACTGCGTGCAGGGGGTCAGGAGTGAGCCACCAGCCGCTCAGGCGTGGTGTAAGTGAGGGACACGCTCATGCTGTGTGCTGACACACCCAGGAGATCTGCATATGTTATAAATGAAGACACAGTAAGGGAAGGCTTCCTCAAGGACTACGGCAAGCTTCTGAGAGTCTGCTTGTGTATGTGAGGGCCTAGAACAGGCACTAGTGGGTCTCTGGAGCAGGCAGGCATCAGCATACACAGTGTTAGGGGTTTTGAATAAAGCAGTTTTGTTATAGAAGATATAAGATACACTATAAGAAAGGTATGCAATCTTACTGTTAGAGCCCAGTTTCCATATTTCTCCAAGGGAAATGCCCTGGATGATGAACTACCTTTACCTTTTATTTACCGTGTGCCTGAGTGCATGCACGTGCCATAGTGCTGAGCCAGTGGAGGGTAGAGGGCAACATTTGGAAGTTCTTTCCTTCCACCATGTGGATCCCAGGAGTTGAACTCGGGTCCTCATTCTTGGCAGTGGGTCTCTTTCCTCAGAGCCTTTTTCCTTGGAAACAAAAATAATAAAAAGGGGCACGAGTAGGGGTCGACAACAACAAAACACTATAACATATTTACTTACAAGTTTGGTGTTCACTTCATTTAGACTCTTACCTATTAACCAACTTCATTTGACGTTTCATTTAACAGTATTAGTACAGACGTAAGAAGGCAAGTTGAGATTTTTCCAGCGTATAGTGGTATATGCATTTAGAAAATGTAGAGGCTGAACGGGCAGTGTGCCCCTGTTTCCTCGTTCAGGAGACTGAGGCAGAAGGCTGCTGAGGGTGAAGGCAGCCTGCACCCACATAATGGGACTCTTTAAAAAAAATTACAACTTTATTCATTGTCCAAATAAGAGAGAAGGGCTTATTTTAAAACTGAAAATGAAATTCTTCCGTTTAATGATTGAATTAGTACATTCCGGAAATGAGTATTTTTGATAAATTCAGACCTTTGTGAAGGAGATGAAGCTGTCAATGTCTCTAGCTGTCAATGACTGGGGCTACGGATTTGCCTCTGCTCTGATTCTGTGACCAGACCCATCTCTGTTTCCTAAGCAAAAAAGACCACACACACACACACACCAAAAATATCCAACTAGCCAACTACCACCACCATCACCACCAACCAAATCCCTCCCCAAAAGAGTTGTCTCATTTGCTCTCATCAGGCCAGAGAGATACCCTGTGGCCTTTCCAGTCTCACTCTTGTTCCCCCTTCTCTCCCTATGAAGATGTCTACATTCTGAACACACATTTCTGCTGGAGGTCTGGCACTCCTGTTTCCTTGTCCTGCTTAGGGTTCTGAGCGGTTAACATAGAGGAGCATGAGTCCTCAGTCCTGAGTTACATAAGACAGTGAAGGCTGTGGCGAGGTGTCTGAAGAGACCAGCAAGCACAGTGTGCCCCAAGCCTATAGTCTGTTCATGGAAGGAGGGTCCCACATCTTCCAAGCTAAGGACAAAGCACAAGAATTGTGAGACAAGTATGGGATTGGCTACTTGGCCTGCAGTGGCCATTTCTGGGTTAAAGGCCTGGCCTCAGATTTAATACCCAGTAAAAATCAGATGAAAAGGAGAAGAGGGCAGGGAAGGAGAGCCCTCTACAAAAGAGGAGGCCTTCAGAGGATTTTATCATATGTCAGCCAAACCCCTGTTTGAGTAGTTAGTCTAGCAGATGGTAGCTAAGGGCTTGTAATAGGAAGACTGGGCTGGAGAAACTTCAGTCTTACCTGACTGAAAGGGACAGTGTGAGACACTATGCCACATACCACATCTTGACCACTGTTGGTGTGCTTTAGTTACACAGCCATGCCTGTTTTAGCATGAAGGATATCTTCCAAGAATATCATCATACGATTTCAACAATCACTTGAACACCATGTAATGTACACACAAACATACCATGGCTATGAAGTAGGCCTGTAGGTCCACCATTGCATATACATGCGCCTGGCTTCACAGAAGCGTCTCTATGGAGCACATGACTGGAAGTTCCTATTTCAGCTTTAAACAGACTCTGAGATGAGCGTGGTCACGCTTAGGGAACAGGCTGATAGATATGAAGGAGCAAGCCCAATGCCACACAGCTAGTAGTTGGGATCTGAACCCAGATTCCTGCAGTTCTCACACCTGTGCTTTTGCCATCCTTTGCACTGTCCTTCCGTGTGTCCCACGTTTCATAAAACTGTTTCCTCATGTGTCAGATAGGGACATGTGTCACAACCATCTAGAAGAATTTAACAGAATACTGCATATACAAGTACCCTGTCAGCCTGGAGGCTGTATAGAAACACCAGTCACATACTGTGCCAAGTGAAAACAGGTCCAGCTCATAGCTTAGTTAGGCTGTATGAACTGATGTCACAGAAGTCTGTACTTTTCCACCATCCCTGCCAGGATGCAAGGAGAGATCAGTGAAGATGTAATTCTACTTGTACCATTTCTTAACCAGTCACCATAGGAAAACACTAAGGTAGTTTGTAGAGTCGCTCACTGCAGGGGCACATCTTCTCTGTGCCCCTTTGTGCCCACATCTGCTGCTTCTTCTTTTTTTTTTTTAATTAAGATTTATTTATTATTTATACAACATTCTGCCTGCACATCAGATCTCACTATAGATAGTTGTGATCCCCTATGTGGTTGCTGGGAATTGAACTCAGGACGTTTGGAAGAACAGCGAGTGTTCTTAACCTCTGAGCCGTCTCCACATCTGCTTCTTAAAAGACAGATAAGCAGAGTTGTTTGAACTCTGTAGCTTTTCACAACCAAGTGAAAAGTTTAATAGACGGGAAGTCAGTGGCTTGTTTGTGACTGTTGACTGAAGCTGATGAGTGGGTGTGGCAGGACTGTGGAACAAAGTAATGGCTAGTGTGTTCAGACCAAGTGCTGTCGCCTTCAGCTGCTTTGCATGTTTGCTCAGCAAACTGATCTTGAATGTGGCCTGGCAGTGGGCAGTTAACGTACATACAGAGGTGTTCTGTGGACTCAGGGTGGGGGTGGACATGCTAGAGGAGTCAAATACAGAAAAACTGAAGACTCCAATAAAGAGGCGCCTTTGGAAAAAAGATCCTTGGGAAACATTTTTTTTTTTTTTATATTGCACATAATTAGCATCTGAGACAAGTTTGTGTAGATTGTAGTTGTGTTGGGGTCTGTTGGTTGGTTGTTTTGTTTTCTTTTGAGATAGGATCTTTGTCTAGTCTCAAGAAGTCTCGTCCTTGTATAGGGCGTATTTCATAATCCTGTTCCCCTTTGGTTTCCCCATCTGAAGTGGAGCCCAGTGCTACAGCGTGGTCCCGCTCTTCTGTTCTCTCGTCCTGTGTGTGAGGGGATGGCTGGTGTACTCTCTGTTCTCTCGTCCTGTGTGTGAGGGGATGGCTGGTGTACTCTCTGTTCTCTCGTCCTGTGTGTGAGGGGATGGCTGGTGTACTCTCTGTTCTCTCATCCTATGTGTGAGGGGATGGCTGGTGTCTCCACATAATGTTGGGGGAAGGTATTCTTGTATGTTAGTGTATGTTACCCACTTCCCACCCCCATACTGCTTAGATAAGAAAGTTAGCTGAAGAGGTTCCAGCTGTGACCCCGTTATTTGCGTCTCAGGGCAGGATTAAGGGGTCTTATTGGGAAGCATGAACAATTATGGAGTGAATTAGGATATTTTGAATCTCCTTATCTTTATTTTGCTTTTGTTTTAGATTATTTTGTATTCCGGAGACAAAATTTACGATAACTACTATCCGGATCTGAAGGGACGAGTACATTTTACGAGCAATGATGTCAAGTCTGGGGACGCGTCTATAAACGTCACAAATCTGCAGTTATCTGATATTGGCATCTATCAGTGCAAGGTGAAAAAAGCTCCTGGGGTCGCAAATAAGAAAGTTCTGCTGACCGTTCTTGGTAAGTTATGGCTCCTTGTGTCAGTGGGGGTGACATGGTGACAGGGAAAGTGGCTGCAGCGCACACTAGCAGCACTCATAGACCGCAAGGCTGGTTTCATGGTACTGGACTTCTGATGTCCTCGGACAGCAGAAAACAGCTAGTCCATATATTTTTCTGAATGGAGAAAGGAAGAGGACACTAACTTGCAAAAGTCAGTGGAGGAAGCAGAACTGTTATGGTTTGAGTGTATTGTAACCAAAAACTCACTAAGGCTTAGGAAGTGGGTGGAGCTTTTAGGTAATTAGGCCAAGGAGCTCCTACTCCTGTGAAGGGACTGATGTGGTTCCAATGATGCTGGTTCAGTCAGCGTAAGAGCAGGTGTCACAGCTGATTAGCTTCTTTGACCCCATCATGGCTCTCTTTTCAACGCCAGTTTTGTTTCCATCGTCAAGTCCTCACTAGAAACCAAGCAGATCCAGTAGACACCATGCTTTTGGACCTCCAGAATTATATCACAAATTTCCTTTCAAGATCTAGTTTCAGCTTCAGGCAAGAGAAAACAAAACAAAATAAAAAAACAAACTAGACTAAACCTGGAGTTACCTTAACTGGTGTAAGCTTTTTATTTTCCTTCTTCAGAAGTTTCCTTGAAAATTAATTTAAACCTGTTCATTTCCTTTGGCTTCAGCCTGTCACTTTGAAAGATAAAAATTTAATTATCATTAAGCCTAAAATCTCATTCAGCTTTAAAATGTTTTTGTGTTTTAATCCCATTTCTGTGATAATTACTCAGAATATTTACATATTTGTATTTTTAATGCTCTGCTTTACATGATGTGTATGTGGATGTTTGTGTGTGCATATGCCTGTGTGTCCCACAAGTCCCCTGCAGGCCAGAGCCCCGTGGGGTTGGTTATATGCAGTTAGGAACTACAGATGTGCGTGCTGGGAATTGCAGTTGGGTCCTCTATCAAGAGCTTTAGTAAGTCCTCCTATTCACTGAACTGTCTCTCCAGCACACATCAGTGGAGTGTTTCAGTTGGGGGAGAGGTACTGTGGTAGAAAGAATTAGAATATGGACTTGGGTTATTTATCTCCTCGCTATCACTGTTTCTGTTCTATAGCTGAGGGGATTAGATAGTTGCTGGGGTGCATGGTAGCCCCCTTTGGATAGTTATAGAGGTGCTATGTCAACTTCTTGGGAAGCTGTCAAACACTGAAAAGTCTGTTACACATCTTCAGAATCTGAAATAATGTGTACAATTAAGCTCTTCAAATTGGGGGGCTCTGAAAGGCCATAACTCAAGTATATTTCTAAACTTCCTTGTGGTGGGCTGTCCACACAATGAGTGCCAACTTCCTTGAAGTAAAACGCAGCTGTCAGCGCTCCGTATTATGCTAGGGCTCTCCATGTCTCGTGTCTCAAAGTCTGATGTGCGGGGAGACTCACTCTTTGTAGGGAATGCTGGTTGCTAGAATTACTTAAGATAATCCTGGAAACAGTTAAGTAAGAGAGCTACCTCTTGTCAAGCTCTGCACTTGGTGTTAATTTAGGGAAGGATGAGAAAGTGTTCCTGGCCAGGACGAACAGGAGGGATAAGGAGCAGTGACTGGGGTTTTCTTTGGTGTCCCAGTGGCCACTGCAGAGGTTGTTGGTCACCTTACTGAAGCCGCCCTGACCTTAAAGACGGTCTTTTTTTTTTTTTTTTTTTTTTTAGCTGGGGAAGGAGTTTGTTTTAGCTTACAGTTTGCAGTCCATTATCCAGAGAAGCCAGAGCAGGAAGTCTCAGCAAGAACCTGAGGAATTAATGTGGCAGCTGTGGCTTACTGGCTTGTTCCTGATAACTTGCTCAGCCTGCCTTTCTTTCTTAATAATAGTAATGTATTAATGAGTTAATAAATACTAGTAATCAGTTGTTAATTATTATATTATATAAAAAATATGTCACCATATTTATAAGGTTTTTATATTTTTGAGATTTTATTATAATTACATCATTTCTCTCTTAACTTTTATCCCTCTCCCATATATCACAGCTTGCTCTTTTTTGATTTTCACACTCATTTATTTATTCATTCATTCACTTTACAGCCTGAGCTCAGCACTCTTTTGCCCCTGCTTTTCCCCCCTCCTTCTCAGAGAAGGGGAGGCCAACCCACCTTGGCACCTCAGGTCACAGCAGAACTAATTATTGTATCCCCTCCCACTGAGACCATACAAGGCAGCCCTCCTAGGGGAAAGGGGTCCAAAGCCAGGCAACAGAGTCCAGACAGCCCCCACTCCCATTGTTAGGAAACCCACATGATGCCCAAGATGCATAGCTGCTACCTATGTGCAGAGGGCCCAGGTCCAGCCCATGCAGGCTCTTTGGTTGGTGGCTCAGAGCAACAGTCCATCTTAACACGGCTTTAGTTAAAAGTATTCCCCAGAGAGGGGAATATGACCTCATTGGAAATGCTAGCTATGTTTATATCACATAAACAGGGACTGGCCTTTATGTGTGTGAATTGTATGAGCTGGTGACAGTTTTTTTAAAGAAGTGGTCTGAAGTCTTCTCAGATCCTGCTGCGGAGTCTGTGTAAGTCCGTGTGTACGTCTTCTCTTGGCCCTACTTTCCTGGAAGCTCTGAGTTCAGATAAATGTAGAGTATTTCGTACTGGTATTCCTGTGGTTCAGGAAGTGACTGACAGCTGGCTGTCAACATTTGGAAAAGGGTATTTGGGAGTGATGGGATTTGCACAGCTATTCTCAGAATACCCGTGGACAAGCATGCTCTCTGTGGGTAGAACAGCAGTGATGGCAGTGTGGCTAAGCACACTCATGGAAGCAGCAGGAATGGCCTCTTAATTTGTGTGTGTGTGTGTATGTTCTACCTCCCACTTTTATTTACAATAGCAAAACAAGGAAACTCATCGAAAGCATGAGAATGAACTCAGACTGGGGAAAAGAAAATCAGTGACCTTGTCATTTATCAGGCTGGGAAGACAGGTAGTAAACTCCACCACAGACTTCACAGGAACCATTGTTTTTCCCAGGGTCTTAGAGAGCAATGAAAATAATGGCTTACTGTTTGGCACTATGATACTAATTACTAACGGCCGTCCCCCCTGGCAGTACCCACTCCATATTTAGTTCCACTCTCCTATTCTCCCTTCAGAAGTAGCTGCCTGAGAGCCGATCTCTGCATTTTTGAGACTGTCCCCAAGTCCTTTATGGATCTTTGCCTCTTGGTAGTGGCATTTCATACTTCCCTGACTGTTCACTCTGATTTTACAGACTGTAGAGGCGGTCCTGGTGAGCTTGTGTAAACAGGCTTCACAGTTGTCCCCAGGGGACAGGGTTCCTCAGTAGCTGCGTGGGAAGACACACTTGCCTTGTACCGGTGCAGTGGAATAGCAATCTGCATTTAATGAAGATGATTACTTATACATACAATATGGTTTATTCTAAAAGAACCCCTACTCCAAAAAAGAATATAATTATTATTGTAGTCATTGATTCCAGAAGAAGAAAAGATCTATGCTATATGATAGAAATCTGACCTGCCAGCTGTCTGAGGCTGGAATTTGAAGTAAGGCTGTCTGTAGCTATCATGCGAGAACTTGAGAAAAGTTATGACTACTGCTTAGTGGGTGTACAATTAGTCTTTTGTATCCCTAGATTTCACATCCTAACACTGAACTGAATTTGGATCAAAATATATTTGGAAACATGTGTATGTGTGATGTAAGATTAATGATTTTTCCCCAGTCATAATTATTATAACAACTATATCATTTACATTGTACTTCATATTGCAAGCCATCTATATGTAATTTAAAGTCCAAACAGGAGTCGCTAAGTGAAAAACTATGTCATTTTATGTAAGGCAGTTGAGAATCCTCCTATTTCTATACCCACAGGGTCCTGAAACCAATTACCGACTGGAGTACCAAACAATAACTTTATGAACACATTTGCCGAACCCATTTGACTAACAAATATTAATTTTATTTCATTAATGTCATGCCTCCATGAGGTGCAGAACGCTGTACAGTGCCAAGGTATTAGGCAGAGTTGTGTAAGTTGCAGGTGATGAGATGAACTGTTACTCAAAAGCGCTGCTCAGAGGCCCGAGAGATAACCTCAAGTTTACTTTTGATGACTGCTGTCTGACTGGATTTGAAGTGATGTACACACGCGATGTTGAATGGTCTGTGCTGCGCTGAGTGGCTCGTCCCGGCGATCAGTGTTATTAATAAGTGCCCTGATTGTCCAGTAACGACACCTAGAGAGACGTGACTTGGCACGTACTCACAGATGGCTGCCTTTCAAGGACAGAGAGTAGGTAAGGCGTGGCGGGGAGCTTCGGGGAGCATCATCACCCGGCCTCATCATCCCCGCTTTTTCGATGTGTGCCTCTGGAATGGCAGTGCACAGAGCTGAGCTGCATCTGAGATATCGCGAAACCTTATGCAATGGCTGCTTGCCTGAGCGCGGTGCCTGTTTGTTTGTGTTTGATGAAGCTACGTAGACTGGCGTTGAGAACATCATTCTTTGTTCCCTTGCCCATTCTGAGCCCCGTCCTGGCTGATAAAGGAGTCAGTGGCTATGCATCATATTCTGCTTAAGTAATCCATTAGAAAAGAAAATCCCATTTTCTTGGATAAAGCTGTAATTTCTTTTCTTTTCTTCAGTTAAGCCTTCAGGAACAAGATGTTTCGTGGATGGATCAGAAGAGATTGGAAATGACTTCAAACTAAAATGTGAACCGAAAGAAGGTTCACTTCCGCTGCAGTATGAATGGCAGAAATTGTCAGACAGCCAGATAATGCCTACTCCATGGTTAGCAGGTACTGCTCCTGACACAAAATGGTACACTTGTGACACTGATTTGCATTTAAGCCAGGTGGTGTTTGTATGTATGTGCTATATTTTCAATTCCCTGGTCTATGTAAAACAATCCAAGTCACCATGAAAACTATTCAGTATCTTATAGTCACAACCAAGTGTTCTCAAAGAAGAAATATTTCTGTAAAGATTTCGCCTTTGGAATATTGTAATCAGTTACTTTGGTGGATCATTTTTAATGTTGAGAAATGTGCCCAGTCATATATCAGTGTCAGAAGGAACAGAGTCGCATCATGGTTGTGTGGCCTGGATTCTTATTGATGTTACAGTCACACACCCGTGGAAGTTTCAACCAAACAACCTATGTGATGTGGCATGAGCTAAAAAGTTATAAGTTGGCTAAATGTAATCAATCACTCATGTGATTACTGTAGCTGCTCTACAGTAGGCCAACACCCTCGCTTTAGCAGAGGGATTGTGGTAACTGTCTGTTTGCTTGTAGTACCCACAGGCTGGTTGTAAGCATCTGGCTCCGCCAGGTCATTTGCACCCAGCATTGTCTGTCTTTTAACTGCATTGCCAAACTCTATAAGTTTTATTAGCTTTTTTTAAGAACTGACAGCAATACGTACTGTGAAAATAAATTTGCTTTTCCCCTTTTCTTTTGTAGAAATGACTTCACCTGTTATATCTGTGAAAAATGCTAGTTCTGAGTATTCTGGAACATACAGTTGCACAGTCCAAAACAGAGTGGGCTCTGATCAGTGTATGCTACGACTAGATGTTGTACCTCGTAAGTGCCTTCTTTCATCTGCTTCGCGTCTGTCAGTCTAGTGAAGGCATATTGAAGGCAAGGATGCTCACCTTGATCAGAACACGATGGGCATTTATTCACTTTTCTAGTTCATGAAGAAGAAAAGACACTACATTTTACTAACAAAAACCATCATTTTAGTAACTAAAAGTCAAAGCAGCTTTGGTATGCTATTTAGCCATTAGAGTAGTATGAGAAGCTTGTAACACTTTTGTGCGCTAATCAAGGCAGCTTTGACTCAGAGTTCATCACTTTTTAAATTTTAGTAATACAGCATTCAAAGGAAAAATTATTTTTATACGTCTTCCTTGCTATACAAAGCCTCGCTGGTCTCTTTTAAAAGTTAAGATATGCAATGCAATGGCCCTCTCTCTCTAGCATACTTTAAATGCTAAGCTGTGTGTTGAGGGTTTTCATATTCCTACTAACGCTTTGGAAATCTCATTCTAGCTTCAAATCGGGCTGGAATGATTGCGGGAGCCATCATAGGAACGCTGCTTGCTCTTGTGCTCATTGGTGCCATCCTCTTTTGCTGTCACAGAAGACGCAGAGAAGAGAAGTATGAAAAGGAAGTGCATCATGATATCAGGTAATGAGGTGAAACCAGACCTGACCAGTAAGTAACAAATGTTCCCGTCTCTGAAATGTCAGGGTTGGGGTACTTGGGTGAGCAACATTATGAAACCTGGGTAAAGTCTTTGAGTCGCCCTTCAAATTATCCCCAGGCATTTCTGTTCAAGCGCATCAGTCCAGCCACTGCTGGCTGTGTGCGGCCTTCCATTTTTCATGTCCTATTTTGAGAACGACAACAGCAAAACGGTTGTCTCAGGAACACCTGACCTTTCCTGTGAGAAGACATGTCATTAAGTGACGTGGCTAGTTTGTGGAGCTGGTAATGTTGTCTTTGTTTTTCTTCCTGACAGTCTCACCCAGTTGCCCAGACTGACCTTGAACTCATAGTCTTTGTGTTCCAGTCTCCTAAGTGCTGGGATCATAGGTGCACACTGCCACACATGGCTTACTTCCCTAAATAGCCTCAACTGGTGGATTTCAAATAGGGTTATACTTGACTTGAATAGCTTAACAGCCTGGAAATCGCTGTTAGGTCTAGAGGTGGAGCTCTGAACACTTGTTTTGTAAGATGAACCCAAAGTTATTCAGGTTTGTATTCTATATTAGTGCTTCATGAAAATTCTTAGGTACCAATTCTCAGGTTTTGAAAACAGAAATATGTAGTTTTTGGCTACAGTCTTGGAGGGCTTTCACAGCAAAAAGGAGTTCTTCCCTTCTTTTCAGGATGGAAATATATGTATGTGTCAGTGCTTTATTAGCTGTTAATATTATGGCTTCACTAGATGATCATTGATGGCACAATGTGAAACTGCGATTTCTTCCTCATTGCACTTTACAAAACACGGCATTTGTACTTATGATCTGACCAAGATGGCAAACTGGGACAGGAGCACAGCTAATGATGCTAAGCTCTGCTTAACATGTATTAACATCATGTCGCTCTGCTCACTGTATTTCTGTACTTACTCATGACGTGTAGCTTACATAATCGCAAGTTGTTACAAACTAGTGCTTTAGTGTGTGTCGGGGCCTTTGTTTTCCAGGGAAGATGTGCCTCCTCCAAAGAGCCGGACATCCACTGCCCGGAGCTACATTGGCAGCAACCACTCCTCTCTGGGATCCATGTCTCCCTCCAACATGGAAGGGTACTCCAAGACTCAGTATAACCAAGTCCCCAGCGAAGACTTTGAACGTGCTCCTCAGAGTCCAACTCTGGCCCCCGCTAAGGTAGCTGCCCCTAATCTAAGTCGAATGGGAGCGGTGCCTGTGATGATTCCAGCACAGAGCAAGGACGGGTCCATAGTATAGAGCTCGGCACCTCCCTCCTGCTCTCCGTGTTCCTTTCTTCTCTTGACACATCAAAACTTACACTATTCTCATTTTTTTTTAATGGCAGCCCCAACACACACACACACACATATGAAGAAGTTAATAAGAAATGATGAGAAACATGCTCCACATATTACATATTTTTGGGAGGGGGGGGCCAAGTTATAGTGAAACAATAAAGGCTAAATAGTAATGGATTGACCACCAGGGGAAGATGGGATTTCTTAGCAAGTTTGAATTTTAAGGGCATCTGAATAATAATACTTAAGAAAATATGGCACTTTGAATATGGAGTCATGGGTGAAGAAATCTGTAAATTTACATACATACCAAGTTGATACTTGAATCATCTGGAAATGATACTTTGTACTTTCTACCATTATTTTTTAGGTTGTCTGTCTCATTTATTTATGAACAACAGTATCTCTCAAATTTCACAAACATCCATAGAAAAACTACTTAACATATGACTTTGTTTTTGTAGTCTTTGTGAGAATTCGTTTTTTGTTTTGTTTTTCAAGACAGGGTTTTTCTATGTAGTCTTGGCTGTCCTAGACTCACTTTGTAGACCAGGCTGGCCTCAAACTCGCAGAGATCCACCTGCCTCTGCCTCCCTGAGTGCTGGGATCACAGGTGTGCACCGCCATGCCCAACTCATCTCTCTGAGATTTCTAAGTGCATTTGGGATATCACTAAGAGTGGAAGACACTACAGAGTTTTAGAAATGACTAGTTTCACTTCTAGATCATTTGTAAACATCGTCTGTGAAATGATCTCTTTGTTTTCTTTTTGTGTTTTGTTTTGAGGTAGGGTCTCAGTATTCAGCCTAGGCTGGCCTCAAATCATGACCCTTCTGCTTCAGCTTCTTGAATGCTGAGATCACAGGTCTGCATTCTGTACTGCCTGTAGAACGGCTCCTTAAGAATTTTAACCAGTACACTGCAGATGCAACAGAAAATAGTAACCTTTCGAATGCTTCAAAAAGAAGCACCTGTCAGATCCAGAAGCATTTGCTTTTGCTACACACAGAAGTGAAACCCTTGATACAACCTGGGCGTAGGGGTGGGTCCGGGGATAGAGCAATGTATCTGTGTCTTAAGGCCTGTGGACGTCTGTGAAACAGACCAGACAGCTTGAGGTTGCCGATTTGTCAGTCTACAACTAAACACTGGACTTCCACTTCACATGATGTTTTTGCAATTTAAAAAAAAAAAAAAAAGGAAGAAAGAAAAACAATAACAAATGTTAGTTCATTTATCATCTGGCAGTTATAGAAGAGAATCCTTAAATTATTGAGTTTTAAATGTGTTTTTGTTTTGTGGCAGACTGTACTGCACATTTTATGTTGTAGAAGCATATAATCTAGGCTTACTGTCTGGAGTACAGTTCCTGGAGGCTGTTTTTCTCCAAGACTCTGAACAAAATAGCCTTGAGGCAAGTTAAGTTTCTTCCACCAGGCTTGGGCAGTGAGCTTTCTGTCCTGTGGCCAAACCTGCCTCTCTTTTGCTGTCACAGTTCAAGTTTGAGTCTTAGTTTTGTGAAAGTGACTTATTCTTAAAAGAAATTTAAAAGGAGTAAAGGGAATACTCCTAACTGCCAAATGTATTAAATATAGTTTTCGTAGAAAAAAAAAAGAGTGAATTTATTGTATTTCCCTTAAGATTATAAGGGAGCGTGTGTAGAGTATGATGAACCAGCAATTCCTTTATAGTAGATAAGGTCTGTAATAAGAGATTTCATTAACTCCCAGACCTTTCCGTAGGGAATTGGTTTCTGTTAATCTCTTCAGGTGCTGTGCTGGTAAATGCGACATTATCAATTAATGTTGGCATGCGTTTATGATTAGACAAGAGTATTGTGTATACCTTTTAATGGTGAATTTAAGCTGAATGTCCATGTAATGGATTAGTGTACAGTTTTACATATTTGGAAGCATTTTGTAAAGTAGGTTTAAACTTCCCATAAAATTTCTTTTTATATTTGTGTTGTTTTCATCTGTGCCTTTTTGGGTAATTTAATTTCTACTATGACTTTCTGGTGCCTATGAGCTGGCTATCACCTACTTGAAAGGTGCTTAGAGGTGAAGGTACTGTTTTCAGAAGGGTATCACTGTGGCTCCTTTCTATCCTTAGAGTCTCAATCTTGCCTGTTCTCTGCTTTTTTTTATTTCAATTAAATGATACCATTGTTTATAAAGATTTAAAAAAAGAAACTTCACATCCCTATTACTCTCTGACCGTGTGTCTGATTTATAACTCTAGCCACATTTGACTGTCAGGTGTTTGGCATTTTTATAAGATATTACAAAAATTAATTAGAATGTAAATTTTAATGATTTTTATATAATGAAGATTATGCTAAGTAGAAATTACTATAGAACGATATGTAGAATCTTTTCCTTTCCTTTGACTTCCTATTTATTTAAAGGCAAACAAAACCTAAAGTATCCGACTGTCTCAGTCCAGATCTGTAGCAACTATAACCTGAAAAGACAAGCTTGTTTGAAAAATAAAACACTATAAAAGCTGACAGATGTAGAGGATATAGAATTAGAGATACAGTTAAATTTTAGGCTTTGGTCTGCAGTTACTTGTTTCAAGGTCAGACAAGTATGAGTAGTTTCCCGAACAATTCTCACTGATTTTGGTTGAACCAGGGAGCAAGTATTTGTTCTAGAATCAGTACTGATAACAGTCAACAGTTCAACAACTGCATTGATGCATACTAACTAGGGAGCCAGTACAAGTTCAGAGTCAGCGCTGTGTCTTCACAGCAGACCTTTTTGATTCCACTTTATACCTGAGAAACTTAGAACCATATTTGAATGGTACATGGGGTAATGTGGAAAGAAATGACACTATCGATTACGTCGCCTGTGCTCCGAATACTAAACAGTTTATGAGTGTTGTTATTGATAATCGTACTGATATTTTCCTGTTAGAATGCTTCCCTGCTGCTCAAATTCTTACATTGATTTCCCTGAAGAGTTACATAGACAAATATTTCTTTACATTTGAGTTATCTACCAAGGAATTATTAGAATGGAAACTGTTTTTGGCAGGGAAGATCCATCTAGACTATGGAAATGCCTAATGTGGCTGTACACACCTATGGCCCCAGAACTCTAAAGGCACAGGAGGACGCTGCATTTGAGACCAGCTCAAAGCAATCCTGAGCTGAACTGAGAGATCTGATACCTGGGGATTGAACTCAGTGGTACAGCGTTTTGTTTAGAATGGGCAACAACTGAGGTCTGAATCTGAATTCTTTTAAGAAATGGATTTCAGATTGTGACTTGGCAATTGAGTGAAGAGGCAAGTAAACTTTTTGTTTCAAAAGGACACTCACTGCATGGAGTTGGCTATCTGCTGACGTGTGACTTACTAAATAGCTATTGTCTCTATGTATACAGCATGTAAATTTGAAGCTATGTGAACATTCATAGGTTTTCGTTTTTCTAAGTTTTTTTTCAACAGTGTTTAGAGTGCTCTCAGCTGCCTTATTTCATTGTGAACAAAAAAAGTCCATATTCTATGTGGTGAATGCTTTAAATGTGTCACAGTAGTGTGTAGAAAAAGGCTGGCACAATTTTAAGTGGTTTGTGACATATATTATATATGTACATATATCTTTATAACATTCTTGTGTTTCATAGTATAAATGTTCTGGGCAAGTTTTGATATTTCAAATGCTTCTGGATATTCCAGCAATAAAGGCAACATGTTCTTCAAGAGAATTTTTTGTTTGCCTACTTTGACACTAAAATAATCCATGTTTGAGCAAGACTTCTTTGGAAAATACTACAGAAAGAGGGAATATAATTTGTGAATTGTGGTTCTTTCTGTTTTAGGAACATTTTAGTCTGGAATTTGATCCTAAGCTCTAAGATCAAGCTTACAAAATATGTGCCCCTGTTTGTATAGAATATAGAAACCATCAGTTGGGTTTGATGTTAATCAGACATAGAGTTCTGCCAATGATGAGCCCTCTGTTTTCTAATTTAATGACACAGGTAAAAAGAGGACCACAATTCACCGATTGACTTATTCTTGTCCCTAATTGTGAATTTTGGCTATAAACAGAGTTGTACTAAGAATACTAACTTGACACCCCCACATTTGCAAAGTAGGATTCGTAGTGTCAGTTTCAGATTTGCTATTTTAAATTTCTGGCTTCCATATCCAAAAATACAGATTTTAAAGTTTGTAAGAAAACTTTGTTTAAAAACAGAAACTTGCTCTTAGTTTTGTGACCTTGTGTACTTTTGAAATAAAATGAAAAAAGCAGTCCTCTGCCTTGTGTTGTGGCTTTATTTTGCTTTTACAGACATCAAACAAAGTTTTAGTATGTTTTTTCTTCCTGCTTTCATGTATCACCCTTATCCCCTGACAAGAAGAATAAAAAATGTAATCATCATATATAATTTGCCATTATATTATATCTCCCAGTACACTGAAGTTGAAGCTTCTGTAATTATGTAATTTGAGAAATAACCTCAGGTTTTTCAGGTGAATTAAAAGTGAGTCAAATACATATTGAACACATAAACATTTTTCATTCCTACTGCTTTAAAAGAATCTCTTAATACTGAGTTATTGATAAACAAATTCTACTCAAAGTTTTGAAAGCTGGGAAACCCAAGCAAGAGTCTGATAAGAGCTTGTTCTGCTATGTCTTACCAAAGTAGAATGGGGAAGAAGAGCTCTTTCATGCCTTTTATAAGGACATCGATTCCAATCAAGGGGTTGAGGCCCTCATGGCTGTCATTTTCCAACCCTCCCCATCACACGCTATAGCCACTGAGGGCTCAAGATAAGATTTTCAGGAGAACATAAACATTCAGATCACAGCCACAAACATCTCATGGTTTAAAGCAATTTTCACGGGCTTGAGATGTTGATTTTAAGAAAATGAGGCATTGAAGTTTCCGTAAGAATACATGTTGAGGAATTACTTTTGGTTAGTAACTGGTTTCTCAGCCTGGACATTGTTAGCATTTCGGCCTGATAGCTGTCTATAGGCAACTGTCCTGCACATTTTAGAATGGTGGTGGTACCTCTGACCGCTACTCATTAGATGTCAGTACCTTTGCCTCCACCACAGTTGAATGAAAAGTGTCTTTAAACGTTGCCGTTGTCCCTGCATTGCTGCAGGGTAGAAGGTCAATCAGGCCCACTTGAAAACCAGTGAGTGGCTTATACAAAATGTGAAAGTTCCTTCTGGGGCTAAGATGAAGAGCACAGGCTATAAAAGAAGCCATGTTGGAATGCTGAAGATTGCTGGCTGCTTAACTGCAGTTTCATGGAGCTTAAAATGGTGGCAGTTACCTACTTTAGGAGATATTAGAAGGTTTTAGAGACTTGGCCTAATGAAAATTAATTGTATTCATTCTTGACATTTGAGATGCTGATACTGATACAGGGAACTTCAAATCTGAATTTCAAAGTCCATATTACAGTAAAAAGTCAGGTGAAACTATATGGTGCATAATTGAATACATTTACCTTAGATCATATTTTAGCCTTAATAACTCTTAAAAGACTAGAAAATAGTCCTGGCTAATTGAGTAAAAGCAAAACTGGCTAAACACTGAAACATTGAATGTAAAGTAACGTATCACTAAATAAAAGTGTTTTAGTGTCTAAGGCATAACTGAATATAATTTCAAAAGGCAATAATGGCAACAGTCAAATGATTGGTCAGCCCTAGAAACCAAGCTCAAGAGTTTTTAATATTTCTGCTGGTGTCTCTGAAATAGAAGCCAGCTCATTTCATTGATTTTTTTTTTTTTTTTTCCATGTTAAGTAGTGTATAGAAAACACCAAAAAAGTCCTTTCCTTGGCTGGCATGACTTAAAAAGCTATTGAAAAGCTGAGAAATAAATGCTAGTCTAGGAAGCACATTGCCTAATTTTGATATCCTATTTGTTATTAAAAAAAAATTAGGGGAACATGCTAAGATACCTAAAAGATAATTTCTTAGAACTTTTTAGTTTTCAAGCAAAACAAAACAAAAACCTTAGAGCACTATGTCAGTTGTCTTCAAGTCTTTAAATGTCTTGTCTTCTGAAATTATTTATTTACAAGTGATTTCTCTCTGACTATACTTATTTGCTAGGCTTCCTTAGATAACAAACTACCACAAATGGTAAAGCTTGAGTATCAGAGACTTGATGCCTCACAGTTCTGGAGGCCAGAGGGCCAAGGTCAAGGTCGTGGCAGGGATAGCTCCCTTATGAACTATGAGATGGGCTGTTCCTAACATCCATCCTTGGCTCATCCACAGGCTGTAATTTTTCTTCTATAAGTACCTGTCTCTGTCCTTATTTCCTTTTTGTTTGAGGACATCAGTTATACTGTGTTTACACCCACAGAAGACCTCATCTGAAGTACCTGTAGTATCTGTCATGAAGAGTTGTTTCTACATAGGAATTTGGTCATGGGGAAGAGCTTAACCCATAATAGTGATGATTGCAAACTACAAAGGAAGGCCCTAATGAAACAGTCAATGTGGACTATCTGCCCAAAGGGTTTCCTGTTTAATATACAGTAGGTTTTTGTTTTTCAAGGCAGGGGTTCTCTGTAGCTCTGGCTGTTTGCCTCTACCTCCCCAAAGGCTGGGATTAAAGGTGTGTGCCGCCACCACCCAGCTTTCATTTACAGTGACTTACTAACAACAAAAAGTGGTAACTCTCACTCGCCTAGTCCTTTCTCCAGAGTGCAATCTTAAAAAAGTTCACATGGCACTACACAGTTTAAACTTATGAAATTGTCAAGTGCAAGTAGATGAATTGTCAATGAACATATTTTATGAGTCTTGCTGAGAAGATGAAATAACTTTTTCGGGGAAGCAGGACCAAAAGATCTGTTTCTAAAACACAGTAACTGCGTCTGACTAGGTTTCTTTAGCTTTTTAGTTTTTCAAAACGTAATAATGCAGGCGGTACAGTGTGAAATACAAGACACAGGATATTTCTATTCCCAATTCCTCTTCAAAAAGCTGCACTTTAAATTCAATGTTTGTGAATAGGTTATTTAATGAACAAAATGAAAAAAATCTAGTTATATAATGAAAAGTATGTGTTTTAAAGCACATCCTATTCATTTTTAAAAGTTTGTAGTGTCAGGATTTGTTCACAAGAGAGAGGAAGGAATATTAGGTTTTAAGTTGTAGCACCTGAATGGAAAACTAACGTGGAACAGAAAACTGAAGACTGAATGTGTTGAGAACAACTTTGTTGTAGGCAGAAAACACATGAAGACATTTTTTTTTTAATTTAATCCAAGCAATAACTGGCAACTGAGTTATATACCTGAGCCAAAACATAAAATCAGTACTGTAGACAAAGAGTTGAAGGCAAGCTGGTAGACAACTTAGGGGAGAAGATGGCAGTGTCAGCCTTGATTTGTAAATGTTGGAAATGAACCCATAAAACGGTGTTTTGAACACTGACTGCAAAGAATTTACTTGACTAGAGAACTGGCAATGTTGAAATACCTAAGTTTACCTGGAGCATGAGAGAATGCTGGATTGGTGATAAAAGGTTGGGATGTGATCACACCTATGCGCAGAAGAAAATGAGGGGCCAAACCCTATAGGTACCGCAGTCTGACAGGAAGCAGGGAGATGACTGTGTGTGTGTGTTAAGATATTCTGAGTTGGTATTTAGCATCCAGTTCTGTCAGCCAGTGCAAAAAGAAAGGGAAGAAAATAAAAACAAAAATAGATGTCACAGTTCTCAAAGTTGGATACACCTTTACATTAAAATGTTCAACAAGTAAATTCTCAGTCTTAGTTGTAGATAGTTTACAACTGCTCTCATTTTATTCATAGTCACTACCAAATGTATTTCTACCACAGTATTTTTCAGTTTATCTTTAGTTTCTTCAAGTTGCTAGAATTTCTACTTAGAACAGTTTAGGAATCAGCACAAACTAAGTGAATGAGAGAATGAATGATTTTGCCTTTGAAAGAAAATGTGATTATGTGACATTAGGTTAAATGCCACATACTATTCTAAGATGAATTTGGCCACTGGCACTTTGTTCTTTTAATGTTAAGTAGGACAGTTTCCCTCTCACACAGTCCTAGAACTGTCAACAGTAAGAACATTTCCAGGGAACAGTGGAGGACAGAGAAGACTCAAGACCAGTAACAACAACTTGTAAACTGTTGTAAAGCTGGCTCTTCTAACATGCACCAGGCTTTTAGCATGAAAAGTAGAGCAATTTCATGCATTCACAGAAACATTAACACAAGTCAAAATTTAAGTTCACCGAGAATAAATGAGGTCTTTTCCTGTCAATGGAGGTCTTTTCCTCCATCATGTTCACAGCAAAGTTAGCATCTGCTGTGTAGTAGCTAATAAGACTTCAATATGTGTTTATATGAATCTGACTGAAACTTCTTACAATGTTATGGGCAAACAATATGCCATTGTTAAGTGAAAAACCAGTTAAATAGCAATTCAAATTTTATGAGAAAGGGAATGCCAACAGACTTTTAAAATGTTAAAAAAAAAAAACAACTTTATTGTCTATGACAGTTGTAGGAATGACATCAAACTGAGACTGGTTTTGAGGTGGTGTTTTATGCAGTTTTCTCCAACACGTTATTAATTCTACAAATCATGACACAACACTTGAAATCCATCAGGATGTTCAAGCCACCAGTGATTTGCTCATGCATACAGTCCAAAATTGACCGCCCAATCCTCAACATCAAGAATAACTCATTTAAATGATTCATCACTACAGTGTTGACAAATGAAAACAGAAAACAGCTTTCCTTTATAGTTTGATTAAAGATATGGCTTATGAACTCTTAGCATGACCTCAGTTACCTTATAGAATTCCTCTTGGATTCTTTGAAGCCATGTTGAAGTACCCTTCAATGGAGCAGACACGCAGGTCTGCTCATAAGATATCACCTTACAGAATGCTTTTTAACCGCCTTCCTTTTGTTGTACTACAAAAGGATCTACTATGAACACAAATTAGAGCTTGTTAATACACAGTAATTTTTACTAACGATGCACCTTCAGCCTTTTCTTACCTGGGCTGTTTGGCAGTATAAAGCTAGTCGTCTTAGGGAGGAAATCTTGTAGTGCAGATTTAATGTATGTGCTGTCTCATCCTATATTCAGTTCGATACTCTTTTGCAACCCCACATGGCTCTTGATATATATGCACATTCCACTATTGATTATTATAAAATTATATTTTAAAAACTACAATACCAGGAATGTTATTATATAACGTTGTAATTTGGTGTATCATCATACACATA